TTCTGATCATTTATAATTAGTAAAAGTACATTTGATTTCTATCAATGGAGTCTCGTGGTTTTCTTTCCTAATTACTCAATGAAGAAGTGCTGACAATTGGTATTTTAACCCATTGACTCTATGTAGATTGCCACTGTGCATTTATTTGGGAGGTCTGTAGCTCAGGAGTTAGGTGCATCTTTGCATGCAGAAGATCCCAGCTTTAATCCTTGGCTAAAAGGGTCTCAGTTTGTAGGTGACAGGAAATATGGATTGCCTCATGGTAAGTGAGTCACTGCATTCTGACTACACCAGACTTTTCAAATGGCTACTACCTATTGCAATTGAATTACAGCTGCTTGCTGGTAATTCTGGGAATTGTGTTTTCACTATATATGGAGGGCATGAGGTTAAAAAACAATATAATACATGATATTAGACTGGATAGATTGTCTGATTTGGTATTTTCCATATATCTATTCACCTTTTATATCTTCAAAGGACAAAATTATGAAAACAATGTTTTGATTGTGCAATGAACACTTCCAGGAAGGCATTGAATGTTGAATGTGTTTTACTGTCAAATTAGGTTTGAGGTAGAGTCAGATATAGTTGTCTTTTAAACTGAGCAAATCAACTGATATAAACTTGCTTACGTCTAACCACTTCCAGCCACAAGATGGCGGTAGAGGCTGTATTATCAGATCATCGTTGGTACTTAAATGCTGACGCTTTAAATATCAGAAAGGATAATTTAAATTGTTAAAATTAACCCTTGCACTTGTACAGTCTTCTCTGGATTTATTTGTAGCCTTATATCTAGGCAATTATTCTTGAAGACCATAATCATATGCAAGGGTATTCAGGGATTTTTATTTCTTCTCAAAAATATGAAATAGAATCTGATCTCAGGAGGGAAAATTAGAAATGGTTCACATCAATTGCTAAGTTAGTACATGCAATATGAGAACAAGAAACACAACTACCGTAGCCATTTTGGTGCAATTTGATATAGCCTGTTCCTACTGAAAAATATGTGTTGTCTGGCTGAAAATCGTTCCGTGCATCATCACCAGGTGGCAGTGCAGCCTATACATTAGGAGAAATGACCTAAGCTACATTTTGCACTGTTCTCCAGTTAGGGGAGCAACAGAGTTAAGAATATATTTAACAAACTACTGTCACAATGCATGAAGTGAATTAATTCACGGCCAGATTAGACTAAAGTCTGCTCTGATTCAGAAACAATTATTACCTAGTTTCTTCAACCATTATCATTATTACTGTGTTTCCCCAAATATAAGAAAATAAGTCTTATTTTTTTTGACCCCCGAAATAAGTACTTGGCCTTATTTTTGGGGAGGTCTTATTATTTTTGAGGTACAGGAGGTGGTGAGCGTGGTCTCCTCATGGCTGCTGCTGTGTTGCAATATTTTGGGGAGGGCTTATTTTTTTGGGAGGGCTTATTTTAGCGCATGCGCTCAAAAGCTTGATTGGGCTTATTATCCAGGGAGGTCTTATTTTTGGGGAAACAGGGTATTATTACTTACTATTATCCATTTGCAATTCAATCTGGGGGTCCTGACAGAAAAAAAAACATTAAATAAAGTGAGGTATCTCTAGAATTTTGTATCTCCTTAACTGGGGATATTGAGAAAGAGGATTTACACATTTAAGATTTCTGTTTCTAGGCCCCTCTCTAACTGTTGCAGAATTAGGATTTTTATGAATCTGCCTGGCAATTTCTTAGAAATGTTTTTCATATGCTCAAAAGACATGTGGTTTTTTATTTTATTCACAGTGCTTTGAGAATTTCTTTGGAATTTTCCGTGGTGGTGTTCTTGAGTTTATTTAATTGTTGGAGAAGGCAACAGGAATCTTGCAGGTGTGATGGTTATAGCTGCACATCTTTCTATTAATGTTGGAGTCTCTTTGATTGCCCATGTTTGTAATTTGAAAAGCTAAATTTTAGATATTCCTTCATAGTATTTTCCTTGTGAGTCAAAGGGACAATGAGAAGGCAGAGAGGCTGCAGACTATGGAGAGATTATTACAATTAATAAGACATTTGAAAAGACAGTTTGCCCATCTTGTAATTAAATAAGAACATGTTTATCCCTTTCCATTCATAAACATTTTATAATATTTTTTGTCTTTCAAGAAGCCAATTAATATTTATCACATTGATGCTGGTAGAAAATATTTTGTTACATTGTTATGTTGCTTCTATAACTTGTTATAACTATAACAAGTTCTATAACTGTTTCCCACAACAAAATCCTGTGAAATGGGTTGCACTGAGAGAAAGTGACTGGCCAAAAATCAGCCAGCCAGCTTTCATGTCTAAGATAGGACTAGAATTCACAGGCTCCTGGTTTTTAGGCCAGCACCATAATCATTACACCAGCTCCCTGTACGTGTAATCTGAGATGACTAGGAGATAAGAATTCATTGACTTTGGAGATTTTTAGATGCCCTAATGCTATTCTAATTTTTGACAGAGAAAAAGAGATCTTGTATGGTATGTTAATTGTATTAGGAAGCAAGGATAAATTGTAGGTGTCTCTTTCATTTTTTATTAATCTTAGTCAAGAGGTTTGTCTTTTGTCAGAACAGCATAACCTCTAAGTCCAGCCATAACCACAAAGGAGCAAGGGAGAGGTTAGTGGGTTATAGAGGAATAGCTTATCTGCAAGAACCATGAGAGCACAAATTTCATGAATCCCATTAATACCTACCTGGGTGTAATCTCCCTTAAACATGATGGAATCCTTTTCCAAGTAAATCTATAGTCATTTCCCATATTGCACCTTTTTCATGACCCAAATTCGGAGGAACACTTTCAAACAAACCAACAATGTTTCTCCCAGTACCCAGTCTTGAAAATATGGGAATTGCATATGAATTCTCCAGCTCACCAGTGAGAGAGCATTAAAGAGTGGCAACTGTCCCATCTAAATCTCTGTTGTTCTTTCATTATTTGTGGTCATCAGGCTCATCATTATGGTCATCATCATTGCTAAAATGAGGGAAATTTACCTTGATACTTTCACCCCCAC